TATAAATAGTAGCCCTCCATAAGCATCCAGAAGAATGAGCCCAACAGTGAATACAGAAGTAATGCCGAAGACATTTGACACAACCACTGATTTGTTAACAAAATTGTATTACAAATATTGTATGAATGTATGGATGAGTAAATATATCACCGGAATATTGGTCCTATCCATCCCCAGAACAACCAATAAGTTTGTAATCATTAGGCAAATACATAAATTGCTGGTAATTATTGAACGCATTTCATAAAGATTCGCATTTCTAGTGTTGCTAATGCCATGATTTTTCGATTTTATAATCAGATTAATGGTCAGAATTAAGGAGATAATCGATAAAATACTACAGATGTAAGTTAGTAATGATTTCACTAATGTCTTGCTTTCCCTTCCGTTCACATCCATAAGCGCCGCGAAATTAGTCAAATGTTTGCATTTGCAGACCGTATGCCATAAGTGGGACTCTGTGTCATCCCTAACACATCCAAAGGAACTCCATGTTGAAGTCTGAAAGTCCCAAAAAACACAGTCTACTTTATCACCCAATTCTAGTCTCTGTTTGTGCCGAAGTCTGTGTCAACAAAATATGAAATAATTTTAATCTCAAACCTATTATATCATAATTATAATTTATAGTCCTATAAAATCGTTGAATTAGAAGTTATATAACATTATATTATAAGAAATGCATGTAAGGAATGCACTAATATATCAGTTCATCACATGAGTGAAATGCATAAAAATAACTTATTATGGCATCAAATTATGAATCAAATAAGAAACGATTAATAAATTTTACATCCAAAAAGCTATCATAAAATACGGTATTACAAATAAATTAAAGTTATTTTTCTAAATGAACCATGGGCTTATCTGTACTTACGTTATGATGACTTGGTTGTTAAGCTCTATAATCTCTGATTTATTGTTTAAACTGAATGACAGGATATCAGAATTGATTTGGAAATTGTCTTTAATATTTGCCATCAGATATCCATCAATGTTACGAATTATGGCCCCAAAGGCAGTGTTAGTCCGCTCTGTACTCGTGTTTAAGAATTCTGTATTCATTGGCAATACAATCGATGATNATATCAGAATTGATTTCGAAATTGTCTTTAATATTTGCCATCAGATATCCATCAATGTTACGAATTATGGCCCCAAAGGCAGTGTTAGTCCGCTCTGTACTCGTGTTTAAGAATTCTGTATTCATTGGCAATACAATCGATGATTGCATAGATTTATTGGTAGGAAAATGCAATTCACAACTACTATTGATATAAAATGAATTGATATAGAAATCATGAGTGGATATCTCAACCGATTTTGTGGACCTATTTTGCTGTAATGATAGGGTATAAGAGGATGACTGAGTGGTGAGCAATATCTTTGAGGCGAGATTAGTCTTCTCCTTAGAGGTTGAGTTAATCCACGCGTACTTCTGGTC